GGTCGGCTGCGTCTTGTCGAATGCGTGGAGTAGTGGAGAGTGTGATGTGCGCAGGTGAAGGATGGATGGATGGGAGGAAGACAGTGAGGCATCAAGGGATGAAGTGAAGGGATGCAATTGTGAGTGAAAGGCAAGTAAAGCCCGTCTGTCACTCTGACTGTTGAAGCAAAAGTCACAGTCACCAGCGGTGAGTCCCGCAAGCATCACTCACGCTACTCACACTGGTGACTGTAAGCAAGAAATAAGCTGCGCTGCGCTTTCTCCGCGCGCGCCTCCGTCAGCTCACGGAACGTGCGTGCGCGTGCAAGCAGTTGCATGAGCATGCGTGCCAGACGATGGTGACTTGATTGCATACAAGATAGGAGCTACACAGTAGTCAACCGCGCGCACCGCACCGTTCGTTCGCCCGCGAGTCTCGAGTGCTAGCTCGATCACGTGCAGGAGCTGCCCGGCTTGCCCGCGCTTCTGTTGCTTTCTTGTGACGCTGATGATGACGTCATGTCATGCGCCACTCACACTCACGACTCGAGAGCATTTCTCCCATCTTAGAGCTCTTTCGCGAGCTGCATTCACATTCAGTGATACATAGGCTTTTTGCACTTTTTCATCGTCGGGCGAGGGGGCTGCACACAGTCACGAGTCATGAGAGTCGTGAGTCGTCAGATGTAGACATGCTTCAAGTCGCTCGAGCAAGCCACACGTGTGCGAACTCGACTCGTGACTGCATGGGAGACCGACACGCATACGTCATCAAAGTTTGCACTCGAGCCTCATCGTGAATGGAATGCGAATGGTGCATTCACATTCCTCAAGCACAATCAAAATGTCAATCATCATCACAGGTCACGAGCGAGTGGGGGACGCAACAACCAGCAGGATGCACGTGGTCATTATCTGGAACGCGAGGCGCTGCAGGACAAGTCCCCACTCACTCGCTTGACCACAGCTTTAGTCGTGTGTCTGTGTTGCGTAATCACTGTGACTCACGACTCGCTCCATCGTGGATGTGAATGTGAGTGTAATCTGAATCAAGAATCAAGAAT